CCCCAAAACCCCAAAACCCCAAAACCCCTAAGAATTATAGAGGATTTGAATTTTAACGAATCAATGTTTATAATTTTAGAATAAAATATGAAGGGCAAAAAATTAGTAAGTTTCAAGAGATCAAGATGCCAGTTAGAGTAAGTTTGCATCCTTCATCATATCAGCAAAAACAAGTTAAACCATTCTCAGAAAAGTAAGCAAGCATTGTTATTTCTAAGTGTCCAATGGCTGAAAAATCATTAAATGAGATTGCAGCTCTTACACTGAGTCATAAAATACATAATACTTATGCCTGATTTTCATAAGTTTTCTATCCTAATGACTTTCATATAGCTCAGAGTAACTCATTTATTCATGACTTAAACAAAAGTTTGAACAATTTGATCAATATGGATGATAAAACTCTTAAAGGACCTCTGAAGTTTGATAAATAAATGCTTACCAATTATCATCAACAGACGTAAGTTTAACTGTGAATTTCTAGTTGAGAAGAATAATGATCTAACTAAGCAACTGAATCAGAGCCAAAAGAGCAGAAGACTCTTCTCTGATCGCATGAAGCAGAGCCTTCGAAGGAAGTTTAGAGATAAAATGAAGGAGAATAAAGCTTCTAATAATAAAAAGATTAATAACTCCTTAGGCTCATTGGCAAAGAAGGAAAGAGTATTTACCCAATGTAATGCACCTAATAATAAATCTCCAATGATGATGTACCCAAGTCTTGCAAAGAATTTCCAAAGTTTTTCAAAGAATCAATGTGTAAATACCAATAAAGAAGGGCAGAATAACTTACAAGGAGAATACTCCGAGGTTAATTTTGGCCTGCAAGACATCATTGGGAGAAGGAATGACAGTAGAGATGGTATTAGAAGGACTATACAAGACTTTATCTCTCACACAAGGAGTTCAAAGCAGGATGCCTGCTCAAAAATCAACCTGAAAAGCTTTTATTTGGGAAAATACCAGAACCCGCATTTAGATAATAACCGTACCACTAGTTATGAAAGTATTAATGTGAAGGAATCGAAGAATTCAAAGTTCAAAGGATTTCAGAAATTTTATCAAAACATTAAGAAATATAGCACGCTTTGTGAAGAACCACTAGTTTCTGGTTGCTGTTCCCCCAATTCTGAAAACCTGAGCATGGAGAATAGCAGCAGTAATATGGCTAGGTTCCTACCAAAGGATAGCCATGAAGACCTTGATAAGCTTAATTTTGAAATGGCCACGAAAGTCAAGTTGATCTCTCGGAAGGATATCTTAAGAAAATCTGATAAATCTCAGAGCATGGATATGCAGAATCGAAAATACAGAAGATCTATCAGAAAGCTTAAGAATAGCAGAGAAAGAGAAGTTATCAGATACCACAAGCATAAAAAGACAGGAAGTAATTTCTTTATCGATACTGAAGATCCTAACCTTATCAGTCATGGAAAAGTGACTCCTGCTCAAAGCACTCCTACTAACAAATTCCAAGAGATGATGCCTGTGTATCCTTCGAGAGAAGTTACTATCAAAACTGATGGAGAGAGAAAGGTCAAAAATATTAGGAAAAGTCTAAACTTAGACAGAAGCTTTAACCCCAAGCTAAACAGTGATTATGGATTAGTCTTAAACACTAAATACGGATTGTCAAATCCAAGGTTTGGTACAAATAATGAGCCAGATTCATCTCTCAACGACAGTCCACTGAAGAGATGGAAAAATCATGCAAAAAGTGGGAGCCAGGGTCGGATTCAACTTCTCAGCAATATTTTCCCCTCATAAAGATTTTTCAAGCCTGCATAATTTCCCAGGGGTTTTGGGGTTTTGGGGTTTTGGGG